AAAGAACGTAATGTTTACCAATTATGAGTTTGTGTAAATTTTAAATCTGATGATGGCGCTGTTGTCTCGCCGAAACGTAATGACGTCGACTGTCGAGTCTGGCGTCTGATAAAAAATTTGAATATCGTTGATTTCATTCATATTCAAATTTTTCATCAGTGATGAAAAATTTGAGTATCGTTTATTTCATGCAAAGCTTGCAGCAAACTTAAGCCAGCGGCTGTCCATCAGGACCTTTACCGGAAATCAAACTCCAGCTCTTGAGCGATGTTTTCCAGCAAGTCCATCGACAGTCCATAACAGCAGCTGGTTTTGTACTTGAACTTTTGGAAGGGGAAAAAGTCCTCCTCCTCATCCTCGTGCGCGTAGCGCGAATAGTCCTCGTACTCTGCATTCTCTGCTTCCTTCTTCTCCTCCTCCTCCTCCTCTTCAACTTCCAGTCGTTGCATTTCGTTGAAGACTAGGGTCAAGTTATCCTTGTCCGAAGTCAGGACTCTGTGGCATGGCAGACCTGAAACGAACCAGTTTTGGAGGTTCTGCGATTTCCTCATTTTAAATTGTTGCTAGGAACAAAGCACCTACCCCTAAGGCATTGTTTGTCCTCGTCCAGCTCACTGGCCATAACGAATGGAGGAGCGAGAGCGGTTACAACTCGGAACACCGTTCTGGCTCTAATTGAGACAGCCGCCACAGACAGATCGCCTCCTGGCCAAATAATCGTATCGAGACGAACGTTTCGCCCTGACACTATGCCGACTCGCTTCCACTTCAGGGCATTTGTGGGCGGCACTATTTGATCTGCAAGAGACACCGTTGGGCACTTGAAAAGAGGAGAATGAAAGCGCGGAACCCACCTGTTGTGCTATTGTTTATGCTACGTTCAGCAACTAGATTAAGTACTTCGAAATTCGCAACTAATGATTTGTCCAGTTTGTCAACGCCAATTTCTTGTAATCGTTTTTTCCCCGACAGGGCTTCTGTACACTCGAGCTTCAGTTCTCTGAAACGGAAGAGTAAACATGTTAGTTCCTGCCAAGTCCAACAGCATTAGCAGGCGCTATCTAAATGTAAATCGTTAAAAGGTCTCGACATTTCATTCGAATCGCTGAAGAGATTATTTCTTGCGTGTTTCGTGAACTTTGCTCCGAAAATTATTGTTTTCACGCAACTTTAAGCTCTCGAAGAAAAATTCGTAACTTCTGATTTAGAGCAAAGGTGCAACTTCAAAGTCTTCTAGAATATAGAAGGCTGTTCACGTTACAACTTCTCGATATTTCATTGAAATCGCATTATAGAGTGTTTTTTGCGTTCTTCGGGAATTTTGGTCCGAAAGCCAACGATTTGTGACAACTGCACGCTCTGCAATAAAAATTCGTAACTTCTAATTTAGAGCAAATTTCGACTTAAAATTTTTCTGGATTCTGTACTTTTACTTTTTACTTCTGTACACTCGAGCTTCAGTTCTCTGAAACGGAAGAGTAAACATGTTAGTTCCTGCCAA